ACCAAGGAAGTGCAGAGCTTGGATCGTCTGTGGCGTGCACATAAAACACACACGAACGAGACAGCTGAGGAAGATATACAGCTGCAGGAAAATTAATTGGAAGCTTTAAAACTATCAAGTCGTCTCACTGGAGGATACATCAGGATAATCAAAACGCATCAGTAATTGTTTCACACCGCATCGCAGCCCGTTAAAACGGTTTTATAATTTCATCAAATCACGAAGTGCCTATAAGATCCACAACATCTATTCAGAGCTCCCTCWAATTATTTGAACTTTAAAAGAGGTTGTTCAGTTTGTGATAGTGATGTGCAGATCACTACTGAAATATCGATACTACTGATGCCAGAACTTTATGTTCTAGAATCGATACTAAAATCAAAATATCAATAAATTAGTTATTTCACATAATGTATATAATTAACAGGAAAATAGTGGAAAATAACTAAACTATTCCAATCATGTCTAAATCAAATGTGGTTGAAGGGAACTACTTTTTCTTCCGCTTGAGTAATACGTAAGCACAGGGGTGCGTTTTCAATCAGTCACTCAGTCTATAGATGTACGGCAGGTCATTTTAACATAAAATCTGCTTCATCTGACTGTAATTAAATTCTAGATGAGGGGTTCCCAAACTTTTTCATGCCATGGCCCCCAAAACAGCATTAGCTCTGACCTTGCAAACAAACAATGCTACAAAATATACAAAGTAACAACTTTTAGAATATTTTTCTCACTTTTATTCACTATTCAAAAAGTATTATATTTCTTTAGAATAAGAATTTAAAATTGTGCTAAACAAACGTAGGGTCAGGGTTAGAAAGACTTTTAAATTTAATAAATTACTACGTCATGTTTTATATATAAAGCAGTTATTTGAAAAATACTACTTTTTAAGATTTACCAGACACATTTTGTGTGTTATCAAAGTATCAGTATCGGATCAGTATCACCGATACCAGCCACGTTTTACTTGGTATCAGTATCGGTAAGAAAATTGTCAGTATCGAACATCACTAGTTTATGAAAGATGCAGCGATGTGTTGACATAAGGAAATTTTGATATTTGCTTTTTTTTTTCCTTTTTTTGCCTCTGGGGTTGAAGTATTCTAAGCGCGTGCTGATTTTATTTAAAAAAATCTTTCTAACATTCAAGGCACATTAAATTGCAGCTGAATCCTCTGCAACTTCAGCACCAGGACCGAGTAGCAGACAGGATATAACTTCTACGGAGATTTGAACTTCCAGGGATTCAAATGGATTTCCAAAACATCAGTCTTGCTTAGCAGACACGAAGAGAATATGAGACAATACCGAGTCGTGAAGAACTGTTGATCCCCTCCCCCACGTTGTCAGATCAGCCAGCAGACAAGAGAAATGTCAGAACTTCAACAGTTTAAATCCAAATTGAAGCATCCATCTTACACTCCTGACATCACTCTGCTGGCTTCACTGAGGTTTCATATTTTATGCAATGGGAGGCTTTAGATGAGCTCCCTAAATCATATTTAATTAGATCGCTGCATGCCTACACTCCAATGTGAAGGATGTGTCCTCAAAAGCCCTTCCTGTTTTACAGGATCAGGAGATCCTTTTCTTTCTTTTTTTTATAAGGGCAACATCATAACCTAATAGATGAAGCTCATCCTCATTATTGCAATGCCTTTCAAAGTTAAACTGATGTGAGGTTATTTTTATCCCAGACTTCCATTTGCAATTCTACAAATCCTGCTGTCTGGTTAACTATAACTAATGAAATAAAAAAAACTGAAATTGAAAAAAGATTTTTAATTACCGTATTTATTCAAGTATAATACATAAAATTTATTCAATAAAATCATCCATAAAGTTGGGGGGTAGTATTATACTCAGATAAATATTTTTACTTATGTGTTTTAACTAAAATATCGGCTTCATTCTCAAAATGCCTGAGTCTGGAAATGAGACCGCGTCGTAAAAAGCAGTTGAAACGAGCTCACCTCTGACGCTCCTTCATTTTTCAGAGCGAGATAATAACAGATCCAGGCAGGCGACATGATGTGAAAAAAAAAATAGAAAAAAAGCAGTCCTGAACCTTAGTAATGATAAGAAACTAATGACATTAGCGTGTGACCGAGCCGCTCTT